AAGTCACATGCAGGCATTGACGACTAAACCGAGTCGACTGCGTCGACGGCCGACAAACGGCAGTTGCAGTCTTGCTGCTTCGTTGCTTGTCGAGTCAATCACCGGATCCTTTTGTCAATTAGCATGATGGTTTCAGCAAAGGGCAGCCGTTGTGCTTGCATCGGCGGTGTGCAGAGCACCATGCCATGCATTACGAGGCCGAGACAACGCCTGTCGTTCCCAACGTCCTTTGTCCTTTGCGAGCTTCTTCTCACGAAACAGGTATTCACCGGGAACTGGTGATGGTTATATGCAGGGACCAAAGCAAGCAGTGACCACAGGGCTCCAAAAATCGAACAGTATGCGCAGTGTGTCAGACGGGACTTCCACAACACAGCGTTTGATTTTGACACCATGCCAGGAACATGGATTGGGCTTGGCAGTGCGACAGCTAAGGTCTTAAGCATCGACCCTTCAAGCAGGCGATGAGTCGGGCAGCCGCTGTGACCCTGCATGCTACCCGCAACATGACTTAGGAGGCTGATGCGAGGCTTCCAGACGAAGCACCTTGAGGGGCCAAAGAGGTCTGTAGCTTCGATGAAGTGTGATGGTCCCGCTGCACAGGAAGACTTCCTGGCTGCAGCTGAGCATGGGGCCAAAGCCTGCGGATGCCTGAGCTGGTGTCTGATGTCAGTGCTAGGAATGAGATTCGAAAGAGCGCTCGAGCGCAATGCTATGCGGTTCTCTATCATAAGCTTCCCGAAGTGACTTTGGCTTCTTTTCGAAGACTTTAAGGGCAAAGCCCAGCACGCTTGAACAGCGAAACTTCCTGACCGTTTCGCCACGAGCCTCCGGAAGCACAGGCCCTGCGCCAAGCACAGATGAAACCAGAGGCCTACAAGGCTGCTTCGATATGGAAAGTGCCAGGGGTTCCGCAGTCAAGACTCACTTTAGATGTTGAGGCATCACATCACAAGGGATGTGAACGATTAGAAATGGAATAGAAGTCGCTGGGGCTGAGTTGTTCAAAACGTGCCACCCATTCAGTCGAGCTCTGTATGTACCTGTGCAACTCGGCAGTCATCATAGCAGCTGAACAGCTTCGGCTTTAGAGCTTGACCATGCAAGGAGCACTTGCTGCTATGGACCACGACCGAAGTAGACGTGATGTTGCCGTTTGATGGAAGGCCGATCTTGAAGAATAGCATGTGTTTGGTGGTCCTGCAGTTCGATTGCAGGAGTTTGGGTGGTTCACGAGGTGTCTCGGATGTCGCAAGCTGAAGTGTGCAGAAGTCTGTATACAGTCCAAACTCGCCTGTCAGTAGTTGCCCGCATCTTCTGGGCAGCCTTCCCCACGACGGTGACACCGCAGAGCTGGTCGAGCAGACATCCAGGCAGTGGGGCAGTTGATTGTGGGGGCAAAGCCATCGTACACCATGCGTACCATGCGCGTACCGCCCGTTGCGAGTCGAAGGCCCACGCGTTCGGCTAGGAACGCGTTCTCTCTCTGCGAGAGGGGGCTTCCTGTAGGGCGCCTGTTGCGTCATGTCATGGACGCAGATGTGTCGATTGCAGGGTGCGCGCGGTGCGCGCATTTGTGGCTTCAGCTCTTGCTGCCACCCATGAGAGGAGGATTTGGATTGGTGTTCACATGCTTTGCATGAGGCTTTCGGTACGCTGCGGAGGGACTGTTAGGGAGCAGCCCCGCAGGGGAGGACGAAAGCCCGTAGTCCGTTCGGGCTCAAGGCCAGGTGGTCAGTGGCGGTCACCTCATAACTGAGGTTCGGCTTGCGGTTGGATCTGAAAGCTGGGAACATGTTGCGGTTGTCTGGAAGGTACATGGAGCAAGCATACTGGTTCGACAACTGTGTCAAATCAAATACCACGTTGACAGTGCCCCGCAGCTAGTTGCTCGTAGGGAGACGTGGAGAAAGACCAAAACGCCCCATTCCACCATTTCTAAGCACCTCCGGGTCGAGGGTAGCGAAGAGGCCATGCTGCCAACAAAATCAGACAAGGCGCGTCGTTTCCGAGCAGCCGGACCGCCCTTTTCATGTGCAGAAGTTGTCGCGTCTGGTCGGGGAGGGGGCACTTGAAGTTGAAACTCCAATCACACATGACTTGCATGCTTCTTGATTTGTTTGAGTAATCACCGACTTATTGAGAGATACTGCGAGGCCGCAGCCGTTGACAGAATTTCTTCTAAGCCGAAGAACCTGAGTTATATTGGGGGATACCCGCCGCGCAACCGCCGGAAAGCCCAAGCCACTCAAACTCTGCCCAAAGCATCAATCCATGCCAGGTCGCCCCAGATGATGGCCTGTCCCCGCACACCTCCGGCACCACGGTGGGCAGCAGGAGGTCTCAGAAGGGCCTGGCAAGATTGTTAGAAGCACGGCAGTTGACTAGATGCCATAGCAAATCAATGAAGGCAGTGCCACAATCTTCTCTACTCAGCCGGAGAACCCCACAACAGCTTGAGGACCAGTTGCACAACAAGAAATGCTCAAGAGGAAAGAACGCGCTGGGATTTGGTGTCCAAGAACGTTGATAGCTCCATCTCCCCCTTCGCCACGAGCTCCCCGTGCTCGGACAGGAGGAACTCCTTGACGAAGGGGATGAGCATCATCGTCTCGAGAACGCGCGTCGGCCTCGGACCTCTCGGACCTGGGTTGGGAGGACGTCTTGGCTTCTGAGTTCTGACCTGTTCGAACTCAGTTAGGCCTTGGAGTGTCTCAAGTGAATCCAGTGGCTCGATATATGAAGAAGGAGTTGAACTTCCTGAAATTGAACAAGATCTCTCCGTAGCATGCCATTGGTTGGTGCCTCTGCATCCCTCTCGTGCCTGAGCCCTGCTGATCACCTCGGCTTGCATGCTGAGAAGTCAGCACCTACAAGTTGGATGTAGACCCATTGATGCCAGGAGCTCAGTGTGTGGTTTGGGCGTGCTTTCGGTCTTGAATCCAAGATATAAGGCACAGGGGATGCGGCAGGGTTTGACCGAACCTGTCCACGTCAACTTGAACAGGGTGTTGGGTTTTTGGTCACGGGCTTGGCGCGAGTTTGGGGTTCGCGGTTCGCAGGTCCGACCAAAGTCATCTCATACAGCGACCTCTGACACCCGCAGGACGTTGAAGCCCTTCAAGGCTTGAGCAGCATGGTCACGAAGCCGAAATCTCTACAGCACGGCCTGCATTCGGCACCACCAAGGCCGCTGGTCATTGCTGGAGGCGTCATTTTAGCTGCCGGGTGCCGAGAAGCAGCGGGAATTGCACGAAGAGCAAACCTGACCTGAAAGTACTCGGAGTTGTCTTCTGCAGTTGTCTTCAAATTTGTCCGTGCGTCTTCATCGCTCATGTTCGTCGTCATCATCACCATCATAATGAGATTCATCGTCCTCCTCATGATCATCAAGCCCAAGTACCACTACAGTATACTATGATGGCGAGGCGTGTGCCGGAATGGTCAATTCCATTGCCTTCGTGATCGTACCGTGGACCAGCAATTCAGCCTAGACAGCCTGCCCGGAACCTTTGACTCTGCATCACGAAAAACGGACCTGGAGCTTGCCTACCTCAACACCCCTTAGCTCGTGAAGCCTTGCTTTTGCCTGATGTCTTCTTGGCTGATTCATATCTAGAGGCTCTAAAGCTCGATCCACCCGCAGCGCTGCACAGAAGAGCACACAACAACAGACAGGAAGCCCGCAGATCCCCTGAAAACCAGGACCATCGAAGGCCACGAACCCCCAGCCTCGATGATGTTAGTTACGCCCGATTACATTCGTGCCCGCGAGTTGAGGGGTTCAGGCGATTAAGGCCTGGGAGGCCCAGGACAAGCGTCGTTGCGAACAGCTCCTCGCTCTCGGCTGGCAGTTGTCATGTTGCTTTTGGTCAAAGCACCGGCGAGTGGCAGAGGATGGCAGAGGGCTGTGAAATCTGAAAAACTTTGCACCCGAATAATTGCTGTCGCCCAGCAGGCAGAGTCGCTGGTGACCCACGTGACTGGAAGCGTGTCGAAGGCACCCCGAAATCTTCTATATCGCCCATGAACACGAGAGAAACACGGATGGACTCTAGCTCGAAACCAAGAGCACAAATAAATGCAGAATGACGTCAAACCCACGCCTTGTCAATTAAAGTGGTTGGACCATCAGGCTGCCAGCCGTGTGGGGTGTGCCAGCCAACCATGGTACTGCAATATATTGCAATAAAACCCAGGTCAACTCCATGAGGGTGGAGATAACCGAGCTTTGGCCCACAGGTGGCCTTGCACAGCGTAGCGGAGCAGACGCAAGACGCCATGCATGTACTGCTGCCGGGGCCTTCAGAAGCGTTCGAGGGCTCGGGCTCACCGCTGACAGGTTCGGGCGTGAAGCTTGGGCACGTTTCGGAGGTGTTATAAACATTGAGTGGGACTGTAACTACGCAAGGTGTTGACGTCTTGCTGCTATCAACCTGTTTCAAGGCAAGCCTTCACACTGGCCAGCGCCTGCCGAAACGAAACTGTTGCAGGCGCTGCCATCTGCACGGGAGATCCCCGAAAGTTGCGAAGCACAAGGATTAAGACCAGGGAGTATACTAAGTCCAAAGCTTGCGAATCATCGATGGAGCGAAGCTTCGTCGAGATGAGGTTGGTTGTCTTCTTCATTCTTGGGAGCGTGGCCTCATGCTCGGTGTGAATGTACGTCATCGCGGAGGGATACTCAGCCGTGGTGAAGCATCATGAAAGTCTCAGAGGCACATGTACTCTTGTCCTCTGGTGTTGATAGAAGATCTTGGATCTGTTGCTGCTCGAGTTCAAACCAGACATCATTCTCGATTCGATTCTTGATTATGCAACACATCCATGTCACACAGCGTGATCGAAGCCTACTCGCCCCATAAAATCTGTCTAGCATGACAACCAGAGGCCTCGGAGAAGTGCCTTGGGTATTCAAGCTCGCCTATCAAAGCTTCCCTGTTCACATGGCGACTTCCAGATTGAGGACTGAACTAGCTGGAGGCACATTACAGCCCCAAGCACCAACAAGAGCCTCGAGGCCCCGAAAGCCTGAAGCTCGTCACTACTCCGGGCCTTGATTCCAATATCTTGTTTTGTTCATCGTTTCGACAAGCGCAATACTGACGCTATCAGCGTTGTTGTTGCTCGCCCCATGATAAACAGCCACTCCGAGTTTTCCGGCTGCTTCATCCGGCGCAGTGCGGCAATGGCCCAAGCTCGGAGGTGAAGTGCTATCGGGCTCTTCCAAAGCAGGGCTCTCTGCAGACATTACAGGGCTCAGGGTGGCGCGCATGCGCCTGGCGGCATCACGAGTGTCATCACCCCGGCCCAGGTGAAAATGGCAGACATGGGTTACGGAATTGCCATGACGAGTTCGTCATTCCTCCTAGCTGGAAGCTTGATCTCCTGGGCTTGGTAGGAGGTCAGCAATTCTAGATCCAACTGTTTGGGATCGCAAGATCGTCAGATTCCCATCTTCTTGCATCGGTTCAGAGATCATCGTGTTTTGAGGCGGGTTCGTCGACAGATTGTTTTCAGGTTCGCCAAAGCCGGGTTTTCTTCCTGAGTGCACATGGAACTCGTGACTTTGCGTCGGGCTCAAGGGCACAAGGCTTACGCAAGGCAGGTGTCAAGCAGTAGCCCGGTTGCTTCTTCATGTCCCAAAGATCCAACACAGCTGCTACATACGGAGGCAGTTGTGCTTCAGTCTTCAATGACCACATCGGTGCATGTGTGTGTATACATATATATATATATATATATATATATATATATATATATATTATATATATATATATGTAGTAGCTCACCCCCCCCCCCCCCCCCCCCGCAAGATCTACGCTTTCGTGGTTCTTGGGGCATGGGAGCACGAAACACTGCTATGCTCAAAAAATTCCAAAATTTCTAACCCTGAAACTCACGAAGCACTGTAATGCTCAAAAAATTCCAAAAATTCCAAAATTCTGGCATCTATGGCCAGGACGGGGGCAGATTCCTTAAAAGTTTGGAATTTTTTGAGCATAGCAGTGTTTCGTGAGCTTTGAGGCAATGAAAAGTGGATTTTTTTGAGCATTACAGTGTTTTGTGAGTTTTAAACCACGAAACACTGCTATGCTCAAAAAATTCCAAAATTTCTAACCCTGAAACTCACGAAACACTGTAATGCTCAACAAATTCCAAAAATTCCGAAATTCTGGCATCCATGGCCAGGCCGGTGGCAAATTCTTTAAAACTTTGTGTTTTTTTGAGCATAGCAGTGTTTCGTGAGCTTTGAAGCAATGAAAAGTGGATTTTTTTTGAGCATTACAGTGTTTTGTGAGTTTTAAACCACGAAACACTGCTATGCTCAAAAAAAGTGAGCTTTGAGGCTGTGAAAAGCTGAATTTTTTTG